TTAAAATCACTTAGTACTACTGCTAAGTGGTGCTTGCAGAAAGCAAGATTGCAAAAGTATGTCCCACACCAGAACTGGATAACCTGCTTCACTTAGTCCTCCTACTGACATTCACAGATTGAACTCCCAAGTGTGGCTTAGTTTAGAATGGGACCCTTTCTATGATAAAGATGCCAGCAACCTTCCAATTTCTCACCCTAGTAAATTGCCCCAGGCTTTCTTTCCTTTAACATGTACTGCTTGGCTTCATCTTTTAAGACTATAACCTACAGTGTGGAACTCTCTAGGTCCAGATCTGAGCTCAACCACTTAATTGAGAATTTGAAAAATAGGTAAGATAAGGCAATGGCAAAGAAACGGTGGTTACTTAAACTAGAGAAAGGAGAATGAGAGGTAACAGAATCAGTGGTGTGCTGTAGTCAGTTCACACTAAGATGTAACAGCTGTTAAATTCTTAGAAATTTTGTGAGTTGGTTGTCAAACACAGGCATGAATCAAAAGTAAATTATATCAACTTACCAATTACAAACAAAAGAAATACAAATAGGCATATGGAAACTTTTGGGGACAATGAATATGATCATTACCTTGATTGTAGTGAAGATTTTGGGGAGTGTATTTGATACTGTAGAGTGATTGTCAAAAACACCACAAATCTTATTTATTCTGTTATGAATTTTTATGTAAAATTTCTCAGAAATATTTAAATAGTAATTAAACCCTTATTCTCCACAAGGCATCTATTCTTAAACCTATTATTTGCATGTATAGTCGTCTGGGTTTTACGGTATTCAGAATCAATAGGTGTTCCTCCCAGTGGTCCTTAGTCTGCATAATTCTGCTTCCTTTGTTTCTACTTTGAGCAGTCTTCTTCATATTAGAGACAATTTGAGTAAATTAAGTTTCTGGCCCCCCATGGTTTTACACATGGCCTTTTAGCAAATTCTTAGTTCAGATTTTCAAGATACGATTTTCTCAATGTATCTTTTTGCAACAGTCAGAGGTGGAAAGCCAGTTCATGAGACTGGTTCCTAAAATTAGGTGCCCACTTGAAGTTCAATCATTTTTACCTGATTGGGACCAGCTGGCCAGATGGGGTCACCTAGGCAGCAGATGCTCTTGATGGAGCAGTTAGGCATGGTAGGTGCTTCTAGTTACAACTGTAGATCTGTCAGAACTGAGGAAAAATGAGCTCAGCTCTACGTAGGGGATTTGAAGCTAGAGCTCAGTATATATAATATAAATATAATCACATAATTATGATTTTGTTTTATTCTTGAAACAAAGACCACTCACAGTTAGCCACTGATCCAGTAAAGAATTTCATTATAATATAGGTGAGGAGGCAATCGCTGGCAGACGCTCCTTCACAACTCAGACCCTCAGTGTCACAGTTTTTGCCCTAATAATTACCATCAAGTAATTAAGTAATTATCATCAAGAAATAGTTGCCGTAAGTGAAACAAAAAAGAGTTCTACTCTGGTTCATTAACACATTTTTTGTTGTATTAAACTTTACTTATATGTATAAATTATTCAAATACCTAGAAATGGTGTTTTGAAGTATATTACATTCAAATGTCTGCGAGACTTACCTTTTGTTTCATTCTGAAAACATTTTATTAAGGAATTTATTGTATTGTACTTATTTTAGGAGTCTTATTCAGGAAGTACATTAATTTAAAGTACATTTAGAACCGTACCAGATTGTGTAAAGTAACTTTCAAGCTAAAACTTATGTTTCCTATCTCATAATGATTATACATTACAGCCATCCTAACTGTGCTAAAATTGTAAGTCTGTTCTTTGAGCACAAGCTGCTCCTTTTTACAATGGTTATTTGGGCACTATAGTATTTGAACGGTTACAGTAAATTCTTCTCTGTTATTTTATTTAAAGCATTAATATGCCTTAAGAGATTGCCACATGGTTATTACTCCTATAAGCATCACTAAATCCTTTAAATTTCTTTAACTATTTCTAAATGTGAGTTGAGCATTTAAATAAACTAAATTTTCTCTCACTCTCTTTTTTTCTTTTTTGTGTTTTTAGGATTCTTGGTTAGTTCAGAGGTAGGAAAGATCCCTGGGAGAAATATCAATATTCCTACTAATTTAGACAAGTGGAGGTTCAAGTAATTAATTGGAATTTTTAAAAATATGAGGTTATTTGTATTCCAATCATACGTAGTTACAAATACATAAAACTAACCAATGGCTTAAATGTATACGGGTTAAAAACATTCATAGCAAAGTAAAGTATTCGTAGGTCAAGGACTGAGGAAAAATAATGAAATTATTTGGTCACAGTGGTTTATATAATTGCTAGAACTGAACCTCGAATTTAGTTCTAGGATGTCTGTCAGACAAACTGAAGAGTAAAAAACAGAGAATAAGTTACAAAGATAGAAGAAATGCATCAGTTCTTTGGTGGAAACCAGTATTTTTGCCTTGCATTAAAATTTTAAAAGCATTTTTTCACAAATATAATGTGTACAGAAAGTGCACAAAATATATTGTATAGCTAAAAAACTATCACAAAATGAAACTCCTGTAATCAACAAATAGAACAAGAAAATAAACAAAGCTAATACATACCTAAGATGCTCCCCTCACTCTATCTACTTCTAATCACTGTCCCTTCTTCCCTTCCAAAGTTTATCTTGACTTTTATGGCAATCATTCCTAGATTTTCCTTTACAATTTTAATACTAAGGCTTATATCCCAAAGAATATAGTTCAATTTTGCCTGTTGGAATTTATGTAGGATTTATATAATATTAAAGAGGGGGACTGGGGGGGGTGGGACCAGCCTTTCTTGCTCAACTTTATTTTTTTGAGATTTATTCATATTGTTGTAGTTTTCAATTTTCATTACTATGTAGCATTTTGTGTGTGTGTGGATATAGCTACATATATTTACAATTTTTCTGTTGAAAGGCATTTGGTCTACATGTAGTATGGGGTAATTTTGAATTTTACTGCCAAAAACATTTTTTTTTTTTTTTTTTTAATGAACAAGTCCATGCATTTTCACAGAATATATCCCCAGGAAAGGGACTTCTAGATCACAATTTGTTTTTCAAAGTGGTTGTACCAAGTTACATTTTCACTAGCCGGACACAATAGTTTCCACTGGTTTACCTCCTTGATGCTTGTCAGTCTTTGATATTCACCTAGAATAAGAAAGAAATATCTCTCTTCCCCCAAACCATATTCTCCAGTCAAGTGCACACTTTTAAAAATTTAATCTTAAAAAATAAAATAATAATTTAGAAGACATAAATTGTCTTCATGACAGTCAACTGGTGTATTCCCAGTAGGGGGATTGCAGGGTCGTATGGCCGGTCAATTTTTAGATCTTTTAGGAATCGCCAAACTTCCACAGAGGTTCTACACCAGCAGTGTAGAAGTGTTCCCTCTTTGCCGCATCCTCTCCAGCAGATTGTCTCTGTTGTTTTTTGAGTTATCGACAATGGCTGTCCTGACTGGAGTTAGGTGATATCTCAGTGTGGTTTTAATTTGCATTTCTTTGATGACTAGTGAGGTTGAGCATTTTTTCATGTATCTGTTGGCTGCCTGTATGTCTCCTTTTGAGAAGTGTTCGTATCTTTTGCCCACTTTGTAATGGGGCTCACTCTTTTCAATATTGTTTGAATGAACATAAATTCTCAAGTTACAATTTAATGTAGTAGCCAAATTTATGTTTATTTTCTAGATGATTGGTATTTTTTATTTTTTAAGCTGACTGTCATGAAGACAATTTATGTCTTCTAAATTATTATTTTATTGTTTAAGATTAAATTTTAAAAGTGTGCACTTGATTGGAGGATATGGTTTGAGGGAAGGGTGATATTTCTTTTTCTAGGTGAATATCAAACTGACCAAGTACTATTTTCAAAAGTCCTTTTCCCATTGCTCAGGTGGGTCACCTTCATCTTATTTTGAGAGACAACCTCTTGATTTGTCACCTAGGCTGAAATTCAGTAGCAGCGATCATAGCTCACCAAAGCCTCAAACTCCTGGGCTCAAGCAAACCTCTCACCTCAGTCTCACAAGTGGCTAGGAATACAGGGATGCCACTATGCCTGGCTAATTTTTTTTCTGGGGTCTCACTCTTGTGTCCAAGGTGGTCTTGAATTCTTGAACTCAAGTGGTTCTCCCTCTTCCACCTTCCAAAGCACTGGGATTGCAGCTATGAGTCGCTGGGATTGCATCTGTGAGTGCAGCTTGGATATTTTTGGTCCTTTGCATTTTCATATAAACTTTAGAATAAACTTGTCACGTTACACATACGAACACACACTCCTACTAGAACTTTTTATGTATTAGCACTTACTCTATAGATCAGTCTGAGAAGAACTGACATTGTAGCAATATTGAGTCTCCCAACCCATAAAAATAGTCTCATCCTTCACTTATTCAGGTGTTCAATTACCGTGAAAAACATTTCATAGTTCTCTTTGCAGGGACGAAGGGCAATCTTTGGTTAATTTATTCCTAGCTGTTTGCTATCTCATGCTATTATAAATCACATTTCCTTAAAACTTCAATTTTTGTTGCTAATCTATTGAAACATTGATCTTTGAATTTAGGCTTTGTACCCCGTGACTGCTAAATTAGTGTATTAATTTAATATATTTTCCTACTTTTGGGGGTTTTTGTATGCACATATCATCCATGCAAAATTAGTTTTATTTCCTCTTCTTGACACATCCTAAAACCCATAATTATCTGAGTCTGACCAATGTGCAATTTTCCCTATAAATTCAATAAAAAGCTGCCAGCGTATTCAATCTCCCTTCCGCCTCGGGAACCCCAAACTCGGCTAGTCGGTCCTGACTACTATGCCTACCCTTCCTCCCAGTCTGGGGAAGCCCAACTTTAGATACTCCGAAGCAGCGCAGGTTCCAGCTGCGGAAGCGAGCGCCCCGCCAGCTCCACCCTTCGCCTGGACGCAGCCAATCAGCAGCCGCCTCCTGCGCGCGCCCCACCGGCCAAGATGGCGGCCGCCGTTGGCGGGGAGTCTCGTCTCTAGGGCTGTAACTCTGCTCATCCCGTTGCAAAATGTGAGAGGAGAAGCAGTTTGGTGGAGGCGGGTCATAGGCAATGAGTCGGCGAAGGAAACTTGGAGACAGCCCCGGCCTGAAGAACACGCCGCACAAAACAGCGGCGGCGGCGGAATGCGGCTCGGGGGTCGAGCCTGGAAGGAGGCGGCTGAGGTCGGCCCGCGGCTCCAGGCTCACCGGGGCTGGAGTGAGGCCTCCCGGGCCTATGCGGCAGCAAGAGCAGTCTCCAGCAGCCGCTTCGTGCAGTAAAAGTAACCCCGAGGGTGAGACGTGGGTCGCGGGGCCTGCCCGGGCGTCGGTACTGCAGCCCCACTGCCCAGTCTGCGACAGGGAAATCTGGGGTGGGGGTGGAATCTGGAAGCGTGTTTTCTTTCTCTGGGATTCACCTCTCGCCAGTCCAGGAATGACTGTGAGCCACTCCCCTGCAGCTTTGCTCCTTGAGTTTGAGCACAGCCCAGTTAGGGTTGACCACCCACTTGCCCCTGTGCGGTAGGTCATGTGTCTTCCCTCTTTGGGGGGAGGGCGGTTTGTTTATAGGTCGCTCCGCCTGTCAGCGAGGAGAAATAGCTGATAGGCCACTTGCCCTCAGTTTAGCCCTAGAGATACTATTTCTTCTTCTTATTATTACTTTTTTTTGACCTGACCTGCTTTAGAGAAGAGACCATATGAAAAGCTATAGCTTGTCTCAAAGCCTTGGTGACGTCTCACTTTGTGAATAAAACGGAAGTTACAATGTGTATCTCCTCCAAGTGGGAAACTAAGGGCCCTTTTCATTCTGATTAGTTTTTGATGTTCCATTTTAAAAGATTTAATAAATCCCGGTAGGAATTGAAGCTCATACAAAAGCGTTTTTCTAGAGCGTGTTCCTAAAATACTGCTTTTGTTAATTTACACGTCTTCTGTTTACTCCAAGAAAGCAATTTGGGAATGAACAAAAACAGATCTTTGTCGAAATTGAAAAGTAAATTATATACGAAAGTTCCCAAGAATTGGATCATTTATGCTTGGGGATAAGCTGGCGTTTACTCAAGTTTCTTATGGGATACTTTTGATTTTAAAAATATGCCTGTAAGTTACAGGTCCTCCTAGCCTCCAAGAGCCAGTGATAATCAATGGAATGATTTCGGTTATCCAGTATTAGTCCTTCATAGAGCTAGGTTATTTAAAAACACTTACTATTTGCAATGTCAAATTTGTGAAGTGCTATATGGATTTTTATATAAAACAAGCATTTCATTTGTAGTTCAGGTAATATCGTCTCTGGGGAAAAAAACTCTGTATTGGGTTGTAAGAATCAGTCGAAGCTATTATTTGACTTTTGGGTATTATGAAGTGAAGTAGTACTTTAAAATGCAGCAATTATTATTTTAATTGTATTTTATATAGAAAGGTATGAAACACCAAAGAGATTGCTGAATATGGATTTGTTGTCATCTACCTTCAGTTCTCCTAATGATCCAGATGGACAGAATGATATCTTTTGGGATCAAAATTCTCCATTGACAAAGCAGTTAGGTAATTTGTTATTAACATTTTTTTATGTGAGTAAAGATTTAAATGACTTGGATTTAACTATAGAATTTCAGTCAGGTAACAACATCAGGATCTTTCATGCAGCAGATGTTTTTGAGAATCTTTTGTGATTTTATCTCTGTATGTATGTGATTACGCTAACATAGCCATAAAATTATTGGCCATTGCCAGGCCATTATGGCCATTGTCTTGCTAAGTTATTGTGTGGCTATGTGCTCTTTGAGCTATGGCTAGGCCATGTTTTCTTAGGCTTTGGCCCCCTCCCTTCCCTTGGTGAGGTGAATCCCCCCTTTCTCTTTCTGTCCCTCTCCCTCCTTTCCTCCCTCTCTCCCCCTCCCCCCCCCCCCCCCCCCCCCCCCCCCCC